ATTTTTTTATTTAACATAAACTGACTTTACATTTATAAATCTTCTTGGCCCCCGAAAGGTTTGGTTGTGAAAATATGACCCGCGGACTATGATAAGTTGGACAGCGCTGATCTAGTATATCAACAGAAATATCATCTAAGATGGATGATGGAGAAGATGGTAAAGAATCTGCTTGTGATCGTGAAGATGTAGTTGGGCATTATTGAAATCTATGAAACCTTTTAATGAATCCATTCATAAACAATCTCAGACTTTATGTTAATAAATCTTCTTGGCCCCCGAAAGGTTTGGTTGTGAAAATATGGCCCGCGGACTATGATAAGTTGGACAGCGCTGATCTAGTTCATTAATTGGTTGACTAGTTAATTAATATGAGTGGTATAATCCAGCTTCACTACAATCAACAATCTACTGTGGTGTAGGTGCTGATGTTACCTAATAAGTTCGAATCCGCGGTTTCGATAAATTGCAAACCTAAACCGTAATGTTCTTTATGAAATTACGATTATATTTATTTATACATGCAATTGAAATATGAAATATTTTTGTTTCATGTCGTATAAAGAGGACGAGTTTTTAAGGGTACGTGATAGCATCAATTATTATTAGTATTATTATTATTATTGATGTCACAAGTTGCGTCTAATTTTCTCTTATTACGGTGTGTTTCCACATGTTGTTTACTCGTATCATTCCCATATGGAGAGCAGGGAGCCAACAGTTTATGTACGTATTTGCGCTTTTGTCACCTCTTGAAGGGATGGCCCTTTCAGGCACAGCTAGCAGTGGTGGATTTGAAAACACACAACCGAACAACATCAATAAAGGAATTAGGACATCGTCTGCCGCCGCTTTAAGTATACCTACTGTCACTCTCGTTTCTCCTGTAAGCCGCTCGTTCGTTATGGGAACAACGATAGGGATTTCCATACCCCTTGGGTACGCGCCTCCTTTTCTTTTCTATACGTATTATTCTCATGTTGAGACGCATAAAGTACGGATTCAAATCGAGAAAATGATCTATCTTTTCGTATGGAATTACTACAGAATTTACCCAAAGAAGTACCCAGCCCCTTTTTTTAGATATCAATGTAAATAAGAAAATGTAATTTAGAAAATAGGTATGTATTTACTCATACAAATAATTTTAGTATGTACTTATAATTTTTGACCGTTCCCTTTTGGGAAGGTTATGGGATTTAGGTTAGAAATTATGTAAAGATGATTGGGGTAGGAGAATGATGTTATTTAATGTGATAGTAAGGAGTATTGCGTTTTATGGGGTGGAAATATGGAGATGGGAGAAAAAAGTAAACAGAATACGGGCCTGTTTAAAAAGTATCGCGAATTTTGTGTCTTTTCAAAATTTATTTATTTATTTATGAATATCTATTTTGTCCATACTTGCAATGTAGAAATCTTCCCGAAGTGAGTTAGTTTTAATATGAAATATTCTCAATTTTTACCCACTACACACTACCTCAAATTAATGAGGAAAAATTTCTCGTAGCTTAGTGGTCAAAGCATTGGCGCGTAAAGCCAAAGAGCCCGGGTTCTATTCCCGGCGGGCGTGTGACAACAGCAACAAAAATTTGTGTAGTGGGTAAAAATTGAGAATCTATTTTGTCCCCTTCAAAGTAATCCCCACCAGATGTTATACATTTGTGCCAACGTTCTTTCCAATCCTCGAAGCACGTCAAAAAATCATTTTATGTGATCTTGTTTAGTTCTTCCTTCGATGTTGTCTTTATCTCCTCAATCGTAGCGTAGCATCGTCGTTTCATGGGCCTCTTCAGTTTCGGGAACAAGAAAAAGTCAAAGTGGCCGGATCTGGGGAATACAACGGCTGTGGAATTATCAATAGTGTGTTGCTTTTGGTCAAAAAATCGCGCACAAGTAACGATATCTGAGCAGGGGCGTTATTATGGGCCAAAAGTCTTTGTTCTTCCACAAATCCGGGCATTTCTGGCGGATTGCTTCGCGTAAATTGCGCATAACTAGCAGGTTATATTCCTTATTGACTGTTTTACCTCGTGGCAAGAACTCATATTGCACCACGCCCCTGCAATCAAAGAAAACTCATTTCTACCTAACTTGGCGAGCTTTTTTCGGTCTTGGTTCGTGCGACAGCTTCCATTGAGATGATTGAGCTTTGGTTTCCAGGTCATGACCATAAACCCATGATTCGTCTATAACCCTCTGGAGAAAATTTGGATCGTCGCGGTTGCTCCTTAGCAATGTTAATACGATACTGTTTTTGGTCGAAATTGAGCAATTTTGGTACGAATTTTGCTGCGATTCGTCTCATTCCCAAATCATTGGTAAAAATCAAATGGAAAGATCTAATCGATATGTTTAGGTCCTCAGTAACTTCTCTAAAGGTGATTTGACGATTGGTCAATACTATTTTCTTCACTTCATCAATATTCCAATATTTTCGTCTGTTGTTGACGTGCTCGGACGTCCGGCACGCTCTTCGTTGTTCACTTGGCCTTCTGAGAACATTTTGTAACACCGATAAACGTTGCTTCGGTCCAAGGTAGCTTCACAATATGTCACAGTCAACATGCGTCCGCGCACTTAATTTTGTTTTTTATACGAAATTTGAATCAGATTCTTTGATTCATTTTTTGGAATAGGCAAAAATCGTAGAGAAGTAAAGCAGCTGTCAAAAATTAACTGAATATTCAACATGACCGAACTTGTCATGAGAGAGATGAGTACCAACATAACGCCACAAAAAAAATCGAAAATCGAATACATATACGTAACCCGCGGAAATTCAAAATTCGCGATAGCTTTTGAACAGACCTTATAGAAAGTGGCCGCTAAAATTAGAAAGAGGTATCTGGCGTACCTAGTAGGTAATAAGAAGGGACTAAAAATGATAAGATGTAGGAAGAAGCAATAAGCAGGGGAGTAAAATATGAGGAGAGGTTAGGGAGGTTGGAAGAGGGTATATAGGGAAGAAAATATGGAGGAAGAATAAATTTTATAAATTTTTTTTAAATTTTTATTAAGCATGTTAGAATCTATAGAAGTCGATTTCTGAACAAAATAATGTAGGAAACAGACTTAGAACCAAAATATTGTAATTGACAAAAATGTAATCTTAAAATTTTTGACACACTTTTCCAAGATTTCAACAAATAAAATTAAAATTTGATTCAGCGTGATCCGATCAGCAGGGCGAATATATAATAAGATAGAAACTAATGATAATTTATGATG